TCCCCGCCCCCACCCAAAAAATGTTCCCCCCCCCCTGCCATAAAGCAAGACAACGCTGAAACCTTTTGTGTTGGGCATCTAATTTATTTTATTTAAAATGAAGCCTGGTCAGCAAGGCTCCCGTCCAGGGCCCAGCCCCTATCTGGCCGCAGTGTCCTGTCCCTGCCCCTGCCCCAGTGGTCCAGTTCTCATCTGGTCACAGGAAGGGCTGGTGGCAGCCCCCCTTCTGCTGCCGCCCGGGTAGGAGGGGAGGCCACCACCTGGCTGCAGCGATCCTGGCCTGGCCCCTCATCCAGCCACTGCTACCTAGGTGCAGCAGCCCAGCCCTGGCCAGGTAAGGTAATCCAGCCCTAGTTGCCTCCCCTCCCCCCCACTCTATTTCCCACCCCCGGTGCCCTGCCTCCTGCACCTCCCAACCCCCTGCCCTGAGCCCCTCATACACTCCAACCCTGACTCCTGCACCCCACATCCACAAACTGCGCCCCCCCCCTCCCCCCAGCAGCAGCAGCAGAAGTCCGGTTAAATAAAATCTGTGAGTACGACGTTTCATGTATGCTGTTAAAATCATCATGTCAGTTATCAATAATATTCAATTATATCTTTTCAGTCATGCAAATGGGCATTCCTATACGGCTCTCTGCTGACCACTTGTTCTGAATTTTGATGTAGTTCTGCTCTTTGGTTTGCTGCATAGGGCTGTGTGGGTGAACTGCCTTCAGTTCCCTCTCAGCTGCCTTTGGCCAGAGATGGAGTCTAGCATGTGCCTGTTTCTCCTCTTCTTTATCTTTTAGTTAGAGCTTCGTAGTAGCAAGGTTAGTATCTTGTAGTCAGAACTTCTTTCCTGGTCTTCCTTCCTCTGTAAAATCTTTCCCCCTGTGAGGGGCTAGAACAACATTTTCTTCTATTGAGGACGGCAGACTTCCTAGATCCCTAGAAGGGATTTGAGGCCCTTCTCTTGTCGAAATGCAATCCCTGTTAACAATGGACACTCCCATGGCATTGTTTCAGAGATGCCTCCATTCCCAACACCTGTCAAATACGCTCTTTGAAGCAAAAACCCTGTAAGAACAGGGAAATTGAGACTGTTAATGAGAGAGAGAGAGAGCCTTACACCCAGCTACAGACTTGGGCACAGAGAGGCTCCCATCTAGGGACCTTCCACATCTGTCAGTGCCCCAGTTCACACTGCTAACGAGAACTTCCAAGAGGAAGAAGGCACCAAAGCCCCAGACTCCAGCATTCTCATTGACTAAGATACCTTTAACTGTGCTCCTGGTACCCCATTCCAAGAATAAGGGGAGAAAAACAGAATTCCTCCTTACCTCAGGCCCAAGAAGAGTGCCAGTGAGGCTTCAGGTACTTCAGATACCATGAAGCACAGTAACACACCAACGAAGTTCCAGTATGCCAGTTTTGCGCAGGAATCCTATAGCTAGAATCTCCCTATAGCCATGACAGCATTGGATGTTTCCCTCTTGGAATGGGAAGCATGTTGGGCCTCCTCAGCCCAAGGACAATAGTCACAGCAGGAACAATGCTTGCACATCTGTCTGTTGGCATTAAGGGGCTCAGAAATGTTTGCTTTCGCTTTCTTTCCCGGTTCAAAAACAAGTCCATCAAGATCACGATATGTGACGTGTATTATATCAGTTGTCAGGTGAAGCGTGTTCTCCCTCTCTCTGTACCAAGGAGTTTAAACTTTGGGACTGATGTGTACTCACAGGTTGTTTGGCGCTTGCCTCCTGCAAATACTAAACACCATGGTGCATGACCTGAGCAGACATTTCCCCTTACAGTACAAATGGGAACTGGGCTCTCAAGTCTTCCACAAAATATTCCTAGTTTGAGGATTTGCAGAGGTCAACCTTTTTGCCACAGCAGCAAAAGCTAAAGTGCAGGAAACGTATAGA